CATCATAGAATGCCAATTTAATAGAAGAAAGTATTCTTGCATTGAGGGAGTACTTGAGTGGAGGCCCAATGTCCTTCTACTACCTTAATACTAAACCTATAAATGTAGGCTCATAGATCTATTTCGATTTCTTGACTGTCTCCATGTGTGGTGGCATCGCTTGCCCTCCATCTGTGTTTCCTTTCTTCATGCCTAATCTGCTTTTTAATATCTGAAGCGTGATTGAGTTTAAGCCACAGCCTACCCTGATATGGCCCCAACAGCAAAACAAAGAGAGCTCTATTCCCAAATGGGATTATATACACAGGAACAGGGGTTAGTATTACAACACATATCTTTGTGGGGCACAGTTAGAACACTGGGTAACTGATGCTTAGATAAGAAGCAGTGAACTGATTGTAAAGAAAAATTTTAGTAATTTTGGTCACTAATAAAATATAATTGAGGAAGACTCTATTCCTTTTTTATCATCAAAATATAGGTTAAACATAGATTATGGAAATTTGGAAAATTAAAAGTGGGAATGTCTTTTTTAACCATTAGATTTTATCCAAAAACAGAAAAGTTCCCAAAGCGTGTATGCTGGGAGAAGTCCAACAGACAAGCTATGAAGACAAGAATGAAAGAAACTAGGGAAAGTTAGACCAGTGGCTACCTAAAGCATCTGTAATAATATATGGTGGATAGTAATTTATGAAACTCCTTGTTTTTATACAGTGCAGTGACTGGAATAGCAGTCTCTCGCAATGGCTCTTCAATATTTACCACATCCCAAGGTATGTTTTCTTTTCTGAAAAGTAGTTTTTCCAGAACCATAAAGTAGCCAGGTTTCCTAACACTTTATTAATGAATCTACTTATATGCGCTGCCTCCATATAACATAAATTTAGAGTAACTCATGTATATACTCATACGTAAGTTTCATTGTAGTTTGCCAAAGCAAAAATCAAATATCTCGATATTGCTGACAAGGCTTCCTGAAACATTAGCTATAGAGCAGAAAGAGCCTGTTTCCCATGCCTTCTGTGAAAGTGCGGTCAGTGCAGCAGACTGAGGCTGACAGGCAGAAAAACATAGACCAGGCCAGCAACAATTGGCAGGGGTCTGATGCCTTTAAGCAAGTACAAATGCAGAGTTCCTGTTAAATTTTCCAGGTTTGTTAGTGTGTGTGTGTGTGTGTGTGTGTGTGTGTGTATTTAAGTCTTTTATTGCAAACAGTAAAGGGTGCCCTCGGGGTAGAGGGCTCAAAAAAATTGTGTATCTCTTTCCCTGAAAGTGCCTGCCAAAAAGGAGAAGGTTTACATGCCAAAAAATCTAGGAGCATGTGTTAGTGTATATTTACATATATACATTGCCGATTTATTTGACAATCTAATCTACATATTTTTAATGTGGCTACATTAAAACAATAGTTAAAAATTCTTGAATATGATGGATGTGAATTGTAACTATGTTTTAATAGTACATTAGAATTTGACTGTCTTACCAAGGTCAAAGCATAAAGCATCTCTTGCTACATACACCATCGCTTTTCCAGTATCCCATGCAACTAATAAAGTTTTCGTTTCCCTTATACTCAAAGCACTGTGGGAAATACTTGATGGTGTGGAGATAAAGATAATACCGTAGCTTTCCTACTCGGCTTATAAAAAACTGATTTTGATGAAGTTAGCACCTACCATCAACTCCCAGGCAAATTAGCTACTCGTAAGGTTTTATTATCCCTAACACTTCTTATATTTTTATTCTGAAAACTACCAGAGATTCTTTTAAAACACAATTTTCCCAAAGCCTAGAAAATGATTCCATATTAATAAGCCAAAAAGAACTGAACATTCAGTATATGCACGAATGGATAAGATGAGGTTCCATAGATTATGCTTTTAATAGTAATACACAAGTCAGTTGCCTTACCAGTATTTACCTCTTGAATTTGCCATTATTAAAACAGGA